GGGGCGGCAGCGTGCCGCTCCTCACTCCTCCTCGTTTCCCCTGACGACTGCTCCCCTGCAGAGTCTCCACATGGACGTGTGGGGCCCAGCCCGCGTCAGTGGACAAGGCCGCGAGCGCTACTTTCTGCTGGTCGTTGACGACTACACGCGGTACACCACGGTCTTCCCCTTGCGCAGCAAGGGTGAGGTCGTTGATGTCTTGATCCCTTGGATCCGCACAGTCCGTCTCCAGCTCCGTGAGCGCTTCGGTACGGACCTTCCTGTCCTGCGTCTGCACTCTGACAAAGGTGGTGAGTTCTCCTCCGACCTCTTGCGGGACTTTTGTCGTGGGGAGGGCATTCTCCAGTCGTTCACGCTTCCGGACTCCCCTCAGCAAAATGGGATTGCTGAGTGCCGCATTGGCTTAGTCATGGAGGTCGCTCGTACCTCCATGATCCATGCGGCCGCTCCCCATTTTCTGTGGCCGTTTGCGGTCCGGTACGCTGCGCATCAGCTCAACCTCTGGCCCCGTGTCTCCTTGCCGGAGACCTCGCCCACCCTGCGTTGGATGGGGAAGGTTGGCGATGGGTCAGTGTTCTGGGTCTGGGGTTCTCGTGCCTTTGTTCGCGATACGTCCGTGGACAAGCTCTCCGCCCACGCCATTCCCTGCGTCTTCCTTGGATTTGTCCCTGACGTGCCTGGCTGGCAGTTTTACCACCCCACCTCGCGCCGTGTCCTCCCGTCTCAGGACGTCACGATCGACGAGTCGGTTCCCTTCTACCATATCTTCCCCTACCGCTCTGCCCCTCCCCCGCCCCCGCCGCTCTTCCTTGCTCCCGGTCCACCTCCGGTAGACCCCCTCCCGCCCCAGGGTCCTGCTCCCTCGGGTGTGTCTCAGGTAGACCCTCTCCCCGGTACTGCGCCTGTTCAGGTAGCTGTCGGCTCAGGTGCTGCTCGATGTGCTGCGTCTGGGGGTGCTACGTCTGGGGTTGCGGATCCGTGGGTTGCGGGGTCTGAGGGTGCTGGGTCTGGGGGTGCTGAGCCTGGGGGTGCTGAGCCTGAGGGTGTTGAGCCTGGGGGTGCTGAGTCGGAGGGTGCGGAGTCTGGGGGTGGTGCGCCTCAGGGTGCTGCTTTGTCTGGAGGTCCTGCTATTGCTTCGCCGCGACTGTCTTCGCAGCAGCTGCGTGAGTGGCTTGTTCGACGCGCACACCGTTGGAGTGGCGCTCCCGGAGCTGGAGGCGCTGGAGACACTGGAGCTGGAGGTGCTTCTGTTACTGCTAAAGCTAGCTGGAGGACTTTGAGTGTCTTGCATCTGCTGTACCTCGTTTCGCTTCCATGCTGCTTGCCCCTGAGGGAGACCCGGATGCTCCATACATCCCGACCCCGCGCTCTTACGCAGAGGCGATTACGGGTCCTTACTCCTCTTAGTGGCAGGCAGCTATGGATGCCGAGACGGCATCCTGGAAGTCCACAGGCACCTACGTCGACGAGGTTCCCCCACCTGGGGCAAACATAGTCGATGGCATCTGGATTTTCAGGGTGAAGCGACCGCCGGGTTCTCCGCCTGCCTTCAAGGCGCGTTACGTTGCTCGAGGCTTCAGTCAGCGACAGGGAGTTGACTACTTCCAGACCTTCTCCCCCACCCCGAAGATGACTACTCTTCGGGTGTTGCTGCACGTCGCTGCTCAGCGTGACTACGAGTTGCACTCTCTGGACTTCAGCACAGATTTCCTGAGGAGATCTGGCTGCGCCGACCACCTGGTTTCACTGGGACGTTTCCTCCAGGTACCAAGTGGAGCCTCCGCCGACCAGTCTACGGTCTCCGCCAGGCGCCTCGCGAGTGGCACGACACACTGAGGACCACACTTGCGGCTCTTGGGTTTGCTCCTTCTACTGCGGAACCGTCGCTGTTTCTACGCACCGACACGTCGCTGCCGCCGTTCTACGTTCTTGTGTACGTCGACGACCTCGTCTTTGCCACTGCTGACACTGAGGCACTGACCCTTGTGAAGTCCGAGCTGCAGAAGAGACACACCTTCACTGACCTGGGTAAACAGCGCAGCTATCTTGGCCTGCAGATCACCCGGGACAGAGCATGGCGCACCATCACACTGACTCAGTCACACATGGTGCACCAGGTCCTTTAGCGCTTCGGCTTCCAGTTCTCCTCGCCACAGCCCACTCCTCTGTCTACCAGCCACTCGCTCTCAGCTCCACCTTCGGACGTGTCCGTAGAGCCGAGTGGTCCGTACCCAGAGCTTGTGGGTTGCCTCATGTACCTGATGACGTGCACACGATGTGACCTCACGTACCCTCTCAGCCTTCTGGCTCGCTACGTGGCTCCCGGTAGGCACCGAAAGGTGCACTGGGATGCTGCGAAGAGGGTACTGCGTTACCTGTGCAGTACGTCGGGCATGGGGCTTGTGCTTGGAGGACGGGGTCCAGTTGTTCTCACTGGTCACGCAGACGCCTCCTGGGTTGACGATTCTGCTACGCAGCGGTCGTCACAGGGTTACACCTTCAGCCTTGGTTCCGGCTCTGTTTCTTGGCGGTCTACCCGCTCGTCTTCGGTTCTCAGCTCCAGTTGTGAGGCTGAGATCTACGCCGGGGCCATGGCTGCTCAGGAGCTACGCTGGCTCACCTACCTGCTGACCGACTTGGGAGAGCAGCCTCGTTCGCCTCCAGTTTTGTACGTAGACAACAAGGCCATGATTGCCTTGTGTCAGGAGCACAGACTGGAGCACAGAACGAAGCACATTGTTTTGCGATACTTCCTTGCTCGAGAGTTGCAGCAGCGTGGCCAGGTTCGTCTTGTGTATGTGGCCACTCGGGCCAACACTACTGATGTCTTCACCAAGGCACTTCCGCCTGGTGATCATCAGCGTTTTGCTACTCTGTTAGGACTTGTGCCTACTTTGCCTCACTTGCTTACTGCTTGACTCTGCTTGTACTGTGATCTATATATATACCTGCATGCTTGCACTTACTAGGGTATGATCACTGTATTGTTTGTTCACTTTATATAACTCTGCATGTGAGCTGGCCTTGAGGCCCTTTGCTTGTGCTTGGACTGTGTGGTGACTTTGTGATCCACCCTGAGCTTGCTTGGTTTTTCTTGACTGGTCTTGTGACCACTTGTTCTCCCCCACTTTGCCTATGGCGATGTGTCAGAACATTATAGCTTATACATTTGTGTAGGCTATGGTGGGGTAGCCCATAAGGGGTACAACCCAATTAGGGTTAGTAATTGTACCCAACTGTTTCATTTTTCATTCATTCTCGTTCACAACATTCTAACAGGATTACCAAGCACTGAACAAGGTGATAGTGCCGTTTGATAACCCAAGACGACTAAAGAAGATATATTTGACAGATTAGGGGCGGAAAAGATCTTCAACACACTAGATTTGCGGCATGGGTTTGACCCGGTATGGATCAAGAAAGAGGACACTCGCAAAAGATTTCATAGGTCAGGTGCGCTGTACAAATGGTTGTTGATGCCATTCGGACTGTATGCAATAATTTTGTTGGTGATGGATATTGTGTCGTTGAATATAGACTACGCGGTGTGTTATATTGACGACACGCTCATATTCAGCCAAAGTGAGGAGCACTATATGAAATATGTGGAGTGTACTATAAGAGCGCCGGCCACTCCTAGGCCCCGACCCCTTGACCCGTCGCGCCCATCAACCCCGTCGACCCTAGGGCCCGGCCCCTTCGCCCGTCGCGCCCCTCGGCCCCTTCGCCCCTCGGCCCCGGCCCCTTGGCTGGTCGCGCCCCTAGGCCCGTCGCGCCACCCCACGGCCCCTTCGCCCCTAGGCCCCGGCCCCTTGGCCCGTCGCGCCCATCGGCCCCTTCGACCCCAGGGCCCGGCCTCTTCGCCCGTCGCGCCCCTCGGCCCCTTCGCCCCTCGGCCTCGGCCCCTTGGCCCGTCGCGCCCCTAGGCCCGTAGCGCCCCTTAGGCCCGTCGCGCCACCCCACAGCCCCTTCGCCCCTAGGCCTCGGCCCCTTGGCCCGTCGCGCCCATCGGCCCCTTAGACCCCAGGGCCCGGCCCCTTCGCCCGTCGCGCCCCTCAGCCCCTTCGCCCCTCGGCCCCGGCCTCTTGGCCCGTCGCGCCCCTAGGCCCGTCGCGCCCCTTAGGCCCGTCGCGCCACCCCACGGCCCCTTCGCCCCTAGCCCCCCCCCCCCCCCCCCCCCCCACCCCACCTTTCGTGTTTGGCCCCTCGGCCCCCAGGCCCCTCGGCCCCTAGCCTCGGCCCCTCGGCCCCTCGGCCCCTTGGCCCCTCGGCCTCGTGTTTGGCCCCTCGGCCCCGCCCCTCGGCCCCTCGGCCCCTAGGCCCCTTGACCCCTCGGCCCCTAGTCCCCTCGGCCCCTCGGCCCCTAGGACCCTTGGCCCCTCGGCCCCGCCACCCTCGTGTTTGGCCCCTCGGCCCCTAGGCCCCTCGGCCCCGCCCCTTGGCCCCTTGGCAACTGCTCCTGCAACTGCTGCTACTGCTGCTACTGCTACTGCTGCTGCTGCTCCTGCTGCTACTGCTGCTCCTGAGTGCTGCGCCACTATGGCTTCGCTTAGAGTTCTAGCGTTCGATCATGAGGGCAGACCGGTTGCATTTGACACGTGGCACGACGATCTGCAACTGTACCTACTGAGCGATATTAAGGACAGTGTCTCACTGTTTGATCACGTGTCCGGTGTCGCTCCAGCCCCTCCCGCCACAGCTGACAGTGCGCCTCGTTCCCAGTGGCTGTCTCGTGACGCTACTGCCCGCTTAGCCATTCGCAACCACCTGCCGGTGGCCGAATGTACTCACTTTGGACAGCACAGGCCCTGTACGACGCTGTCGTTGCTCGCTACTCCTCCCCTGCCACTGCTGCTCTTGGAAGACTGCTACTGCCCTACCTATTCCCTGAGCTGTCGGCTTTTCCCACAGTAGCGGACCTGGTTACCCACCTGTGCACTAGCGATGCACGCTACAGCGCTACCGTCCCTGCTGAGTTCCTTGTCACGAACCAGCCCCCCATGTTCATCACCCTCTACTTCGTAGTCTCTCGCCTCCCTGACTCTCTTCGCTCTGTCAGGGACCACTTTCTCTCCCTTGACCCCACCTCCCTCACTGTTGACCTCCTCGAGCAGCATCTCCTCGCAGCTGAGACTAGTGCAGTTGCTGTAGGTGCTGCTCGTGGCACTCCGCGCCCGCCCTTCTTTGAGGGGTGCTCCCCCTCCCCCCTTTCCCCCTCCTTCGCCTCTGCTGCTGCTACAGACGTCTCTGTTCCTCAGGACGTCGGTGCTGCTTCGACTAGTGCGAAGCGCCGCAGCAGCAAGGGCAAGGGTGGCAGGGGTGGTGGAGGTGGCAGCGGTGGTGGTGGAGGTGGAAGCGGGAGCGGTGGTGGGGGGAGCAGTGGAGGTGGTGGAGGCAGTTGAGGTGGTGGCGGCGGTGGGACTGGTGGCGGGAGTGGGGGCTCTGGTGGCGGCGGTGGAGGCAGCGAAGGGAGTGGCGGCAGTGGAGGCGGTGGGACTGGTGGTGGTAGGTCTGGACCTCGGCGTGGAGGCCCTGGTGGTGGTCAGCGACAGCAGCAGCAGCGTCGGAGCGAGACCCAGTCGCCACAGCAGCTCCGTGAGTGGTTGGTTCAGTGTGGGACAGGTGGGGGTAGTGAGAGCTGCCCGTATGTCATTCGCACGGGAATCCGTGCGGGCCAGACATGCGGGAAGTTTCACACTGAGCACCGCTGCTTCTCCGGCCTTGACGACACCTGGCTTGCTGGGTTTGGTGACGACGTCGAGCGCCCTCGCTGGGTAGAGTTGCTTAGGTCGGGAGTTGCTATCTTTGACCTAGACTATGATGCTATTATCTCTGCCATGTATGCTTTGTCTTTTAGTGCTGAGGGTGACTGTTACCGGTGTGTGCCACCTGACCTAGGTATAGCGGCTGCTGCTCTAGGTGCTAGTGCGTCTGGTACTCCCCTGTCAACATATATTTTATATGTGTTGTTTAGGTTAGTCTAGGTATTACGTTTCTACTTACTTGCATGATTAGGGTTTGCTATATCTAGGGTTGTACTTCACATTTTCTATCAATTCATTCTTATCGTAACATGGTATAGAGCTAGGTTTCCCTTAGGCGATTTTTCCCCTAGGCGATTTTTTTCCCTTAGGCGAAATTTCTCTCGATAGTCTATGGGCCCACCACCCGCGCGCCTCGTAGCGACCCATAGCCCGAAGCGCCCTGCCCCGTAGAGCCCGAGTAGGTCGCGCCCCCCCGTCGACATCGCGCGTCACCCGTTTCTGCCCTGCGCCCCACCCGTTATTGCCGTGCGTCACTCGTTTTCTGCCCCGCGCCCCACTCGTTTTACCCTGCGCGTTTCCCCCCAGCCCTCTAGCGCGCAGCAGACGAACGCGCGTAGCTGCGCGCGCAGCCTTAGTCGCACCCGCAGCTTCGCGCTAGTACGTCGCGGCCGCGCGCACGTGCAGCCCACCGTCTTAACCGCCCCCCAGACCTGAAAACCCGCCATTACAGACCTGAAAACCGCCGCCGAACTTGGAAACCCGCCGCCCCAGACCTGAAAACCGCCGCCCCAGACCTGACAACCGCCGCCCCACCTGGAAACCTGCTGCCCCACCCGTTCCAGGCACCTCACCCGGGATCAGCCGCCCCACCCAGTCCTCTCCACCGCATTGAACCGCACAGAACTGCACATAACTGCACAGAACCGCACAGAACCGCCGCCTTCACAGCTTCCCCACCTGAAAACCACCGCCCCAGACCTGACAACCGCCGCCCCACCTGGAAACCTGCTGCCCCACCCGTTCCAGGCACCTCACCCGGAATCAGCTGCCCCACCCAGTCCTCTCCACCGCATTGAACCTCACAGAACCGCACAGTACTGCACATAACCGCACAGAACTGCACAGAACCGCCGCCTCACCCGTAGCCCGCTGCCTTAACAGCTTCCCCACCTGAAACCTGCCTCCCCACGACCTACCACACCCGCCGTCAGTAGCCCCAGCCGATTAAAACTGCCGCCAGCTACACCAGCAGCAGCATAGGCTGCCCCCAGCGCACCAGCAGCAACGTAGGCTGCCCCCAGCAGAACCAGCAGAACCAGCAGAACCAGCAGAACCAGCAGAACCAGCAAAACCAGCAAAACCAGCAGAACCAGCAGAACCAGCAGAACCAGCAGAACCAGCAGAACCAGCAGAACCAGCAGAACCAGCAGAACCAGCAGAACCAGCAGAACCAGCAGAACCAGCAGAACCAGCAGAACCAGCAGCAGCATAGGCTGCCCCCAGCGAACCAGCAGCAGCATAGGCTGCCCCCAGCGCACCAGCAGCAGCTTAGGCAATTGCCTGCGCACTAGCAGCAGCATTGGCTGCCCCCTGGAGAACCAGTAGCAGCCTAGGCTGCCTCTCAGCAGAACCAGAAGCAGCACAGGCTGCCCCCAGCGCACCAGCAGCAGCTTAGGCTGCCCTCAGCAGAACCAGTAGCAGCATAGGCTCACATGGCATGTACTAGGGTTCTACAGCAGCAGGGCCAGCCGCAGCACTCCCGTCAGTTGGGGCCTGCGGGTCCAAAGTGTGGCGCCCCCAGCAGTGGCTCAGCTAGCAGTGGGCGAGACGTCGGCCCCTGCGGGTACCGGGCCCTGACAGGCCCTGGTGCTGGCACTACCTGCTGGAGTCCTGACCACACTGCGTCCAGCTGCTACCGTCGACTCGACGACCTCCACCGTGAGCGTTTTGGTCCTCACGCTATTACACCGCACTGGCCTTCGCGCCTTCGCCAGCGCACTACTGCACCAGTTGAGTCTCACCTGCCTGGTCTAGGACCCTTTCCGGCTGCACGAGTAGAGACCTGTGTTTCCAGTCTTGGTGCGTGTGTTGTTTCCAGTCCCGGCGCCTCTGAGGGTCTTTGTGTAGAAGCTGCAGCTACCACTAGTCTAGCACTAGCCTTTGTAGCTGGTTCGGGTGCGACCCCACAGACTGCACAGCTTTCCTTCACCCTAGATTCTGGAGCGTCCAGCTGTTTCTTTCGCGACTGTACCGACCTCACACCACTGCGCACTCCGGTCACTGTCGCCTTGGCTGACCCCTCTGTGGGACGTGTAGTTGCTAGCAGCACCACCACTCTTCCGTGTCCGGCGGCTCCCTCAGGTTTTCTTACAGGTTACTACACCCCCTCGTTCTCTAGGAACTTGGTGGGTGTCAGTCACCTTCACGACCTAGGCGTAGTCACTACTTTCCCACTGGACGAGCCTGTTGCCTCCTGCACTGTCGGTGCCACTGGGGCGCCCCTGGCCACATTCCACAGAGAGCCGGGATCTGGTCTGTACTCACTACACACTGGGTCCCACCACACTGAGTCGGGTCAGGTCAGGTCAGGTCAGGTAGCTGCTGTGTCGTGTGACTGTCGGTCCCTCACCCACCCGTCGGTCCTCTGGCACCACCGTCTAGGTCACCCGTCGTTTCCGCGTCTCAGTAGGATGGCACGTTACCGTCTGGTCTCAGGTCTCCCAGGGTCGCTTGCACCGCTTCCCCGCTCTCCTGCGCCGCTGTGCACTCCTTGCGTCGAGGGTCGGCAGCGCGCTGCCCCTCACTCCTCCTCGTTCCCCCCCACCACGGCTCCCTTCGAGACCCTGCACTTGGACGTCTGGGGCCCCTCTCCGGTCCTTGGCCCACGTCAGGAGCGCTACTTCCTGATTGTGGTGGACGACTACTCCCGCTACACCACGGTTTTCCCCTTGCGACGGAAGGCCGACGTGCCTACCGTCCTCGAGCCGTGGCTACTAGCGTGGGGTGGCGCCCAGGGCCTGTGTGGGCTTCGCCTACACTCGGACCGTGGTGGTGAGTTTTCTTCCACTCGCCTGGAGACGTTCTGTCAGGGTCGGGGGATCATCCAGTCTTACATGCTACCAGCATCACCGCAGCAGAACAGGGTAGCCGAGCGACGCATCGGCCTGGTCATGGAGGTTGCCCGGACCTCCATGTGCCATGCCGGTGCCCCCCAGTTCTTGTGGCCCCAGGCAGTCCGCTACGCCGCGCACCAGCTGAACCTGTGGCCCAGTGACGCACGGCCAAGGGTGACGCCGGTCTCCCTTTGGACAGGTTCTCCGGGCGTAGTAGCTGACTTCCGCGTCTGGGGTTGTCTGGCTCACGTTCGCGCCCCTGGCGCGAACAAGTTGTCTCCGCGCACTCGTGCCTGCGTCTTTCTTGGCTTCCCTTTGGACGCCTCCGGCTGGGTGTTCTACGACCCGATCACCTACCAGTTCTTCGCTTCGCAGGACGTCACGTTCGACGAGTCTGTCTGTTACTACAGGAGTCGCCCCCACCGAGGTACTCAGGCCTTTTCCCCCCCGCTGTTCCTCACCCTTGAGCCCCCACCAGTCGCCCCGGTAGCCCCCCCCCCTTCGCGTCCTGCCCCGTCAGGTGTGTCGCACGTCACTCCGCAGTCTTCCCCCCCGCAGCGTCCAGTCCCTGTCGTGTCTGGGGGTGCGGGAGGTGCAGTTGCGGAGGGTGAGGGTACTGGGGCTGCAGGAGCTGGTGGTGCCGGCTCTGGGGGTGCAGGGGTTGTGGGCGTGGAGGTCACTCCTGTGGAGGACACGGCAGCCTCGACTCGGCGGCCTCGCCCTGCCTCACCCCCTGGCTTCCCGTCCGTCCCGCAGTTTCCTCCTCCTTCTTCTCTGCGGTCGGTTGCTGCGGAGCCTGGGGGTGTTCCTGCGGGAGGTACTGGAGGCCCCGGGGGTGTTGGTGGTGGAGGTGCTGGTTCTGGGGGTGCTGGAGCTGGAGGCACTGGCACTGTGGCGCCTACACCGCGCACTGTACGTTTCCTGACCCGTGAGCAGCGTCTCCTCCGGTTGGAGAGGGAGGAGCGTGAGCGATTTGAGAGGGCACAGCAGCAGCAGCAGCAGCAGCAGGAGAGAGTAGAGGAGGAGTCACAGCAGCAGCACGAGAGGGTAGCGCAGGAGTCCCGGTCGCAGCAGCGGGTGCAGCTGCAGCCGCAGCAGGAGAGGGTAGAGGAGGAGTCACGGCCGCACCAGGAGAGGGTAGAGCAGGAGTCCCGCCCGCAGCAGCAGGTGCAGTTACAGACACAGCAGGAGAGAGTAGAGGAGCAGTCACGGCCGCACCAGGAGAGGGTAGAGCAGGAGTCCCACCCGCAGCAGCAGGTGCAGTTCCAGACGCAGCAGGAGAGAGTAGAGGAGGAGTCACGGCAGCAGCAGGAGAGGGTAGCGCAGGAGTCCCGGTCGCAGCAGCGGGTACAGCTGCAGCCGCAGCAGGAGAGGGCAGAGGCGGAGCCACAGGAGCAGCAGCAGGGGCCGGTACCGTCGCAGCAGACGCCAGAGGAGGCGGAGCAGCAGCGACTGCGACTACGCGACCTCCCCGACCCAGCACCTGCACGCTTTGTTCGTGGTCCCCTGTCGTCCCCTCCTGTTCCACCAGTTGAGTCCCTTTCCTCCTCCCAGTGGACTCGTCGTCCTCCCCTCAGTCGTGCTGTGTCTCCACAGCCCCGTCGGTCCCGTTACCGTGCAGACGGTCCGTTTCACCTTGTTCTCCGCTCTCGTGTTCCACCTCCTCCTGTCCTTCCACAGCCCCCTGAGTCGTCCCTCACTGTGCTTCACGACCCGTTGTCCGACTACCTCCGTGCCTCCCGTCCTGTCGTCTCCCGTGTTTTGTCCGCGTTGGTCACTCACCCGACTGCACCTCTGTCGTCTGTCTCAGCACTTGTTACCACTGTCTCTGGCTTTGCCTCTTCCCACCGCCTTGACTACGCCGCTCACTTGGTGAGTGGCCCTGCACGTTCTCCGTCCTCTGGGGGTGCTCCTGTCTTTCCCCTGGAGGTCGTAGAGGACAGGCAGTTCGAGCTTGGTTTTCTTGCGGCCGCTGTTCCTCATCTCTGCGCCATGCTGCTTGCCCCTGAGGGGGATCCAGACGCCCTTGACATCCCGATCCCTCGCACTCACGCCGAGGTGGTCTCGGGACCCTGGGCTTCGTACTGGATAGCAGCTGAGGAGGCAGAGATGGCATCTTATAGGTCCACATGCACTTACGTCGACGCAGTCCCACCACTTGGGACGAATGTCGTCAGTGGCCGATGGCTCTACAAGGTGAAGCGGCCGCCTGGATCACCACCTGTGTTCAAGGCACGCTATGTTGCGAGAGGCTTCAGTCAGCGAGAGGGGGTGGACTTCTTCCAGACCTTCGCTCCCACCCCGAAGATGAGTACTCTTCGGGTGTTGCTGCATATTGCAGCCCAGCGCGACTACGAGTTGCACTCCTTGGACTTTTCCACCGCGTTCCTTCAGGGGAGCCTGCACGAGCAGATCTGGCTGCGTCGCCCGCCTGGCTTCACTGGCTCTTTCCCACCTGGGACCCAGTGGCAGCTGCGTCG